CAATATACCGAGTGGTATATTCTGATGTATCGCTCGATATATATATGTATATACATGTATATATATAAATATATGTATATATATGTATGTATATATATGTATGTATATGTATGTATATGTATGTATATATATGTATGTATATGTATGTATATGTATGTATATATATGTATATATATGTATATATAAGTAAAAAAAGGCAACGTCGCCTCGACGACGCTCGGTTTCTTCTCCCCGCGATGTCACCGAGGCTTCTTCTCCCCATGCAGTTGAGGAGAAGTCGCCGATGACGCCGAAGCCTCGTCGCCGACAACGCCGAGGCCTCGTCGCTGACGACGTCGAGGACGCGATATCTCATCTGCGGCGTTCGACGACGGATCGGGATCGTTGAGGGAGAGCGGCGTCGAATCTCCATATTCTCCCTTTTCTTCTCCCTCTTTTTCTCCCTCTTCTTTCTTCTCCCTCGGCCAATACCACCCGGTAGCGGGCGACGACAATTGAAATCGATCATCACCAATCGATTTAGGTTGGTAACAAGGTGGAAACAACCCCAATCGATGGTACCGCCCGGCAGTGAGCGGTCCATGTACCGGTCTGCTAGCGGGCCGGTACGTACCACCAGATACGTGCGGTGTTATTCGAAATTAAAATCCTTGATTTGAACGACTATCAAATCAAGCCAAAGACTGGTCCGAACGATAATTGATGGGTACATTCATCGAAGGACGTAATCCAGATATCTGGTGTGAAGTTACGGCTTGTTAACCTCGCACTAGCGATTTCATTTGCACGATTGCATGAGGAAAAAATCAACATAGAGAATTGTCGATACAGAAGTGTTAATAAACTAGTGATTAGCAAGCCGACCGTCTTATTTATTCCAGTCTAAAACCCTAACACCCAAAGACTAACCCGAGAAGAACCCAAAGAAAGATCCACGAAGGGTTTGTGCTGACATTGTGATGAAAAGTGGAGTAAGGAGCACCGATGCAAACAAGGGAAGCTTTTGATAATTGAATCAATCGAGGAGGAACTGGAAGCTAACGCAGTGGACTTTGATTATGAAGGTATGGATACCGATGAAGATATTGAACCTATCACTCATACTGTGCATGCACTGGTCGATTAATCTAACTTACAAACTATAAAAGTTGAAGGAACTTTGAAACATCAGCTTGTTACTGTTTTGATTGATACCGGTAGCATTAACAATTTTATGGACAACAAGGTTGTTGCTCGATTGTCCTATCACATTGAATGCTGTGATAAATTCAAAGTAAAAGTCGTTGATAGTCGGATTCTAACTTGTGATAGCAAATGTTCGAAGATAAAACTGATTTTGCAGGGCCAAGAATTGCTTGTGGATTTCTTCTTACTAGCTTTAGAAGACTACAAATTTATGCTTGGAATTAAATGGTTATCAACCCTAGGAGAAGTCTCTTGAAACTTTTCTAAACTAATCATAAAGTTCTTTATTAATGGGAGGCAGGTGATCCTAAAGGGAAGGCATGGTGGTAAGACCACAACTGTCACTAGCCATCAAATAGAGAGGGTTCTTCGGAAGACACACCACAGATTTTAGTACAACTACAGAGCGTTGAAAAGGGAGCAACAGTACATAAACAAAACGAAGATGTCTAATCTTTGCTCAGAGAATTTGCAGAATTATAGGGACTCCCACCTCTACAATCTCATGATCACCGAATTCCAATACTACCTAGGAGAGCACCAACTAACGTTCGGCCCTACCGATATTCACATTTTCAAAAGACGGAGATAGAGAAGATTGTGAAAGAGATGCTTGAAACGAGGGTCATAAGAGCTAGCATTAGCCTATATTCCTCTCCAGTCCTATTAGTGAGAAAAAAGGATGGCTCGTGGCGTATGTGTGTGGGCTACCGAGCACTCAACAACATTACGGTGAAAGATAAATATCTTATTCCAGTGGTAGATGAGCTCTTGGATGAATTGGGAGGAACCTAACAAGGAGGCCAATCCCCTCGAAGTGATCAAGAAGGCCGATCCCCTCGAAACGATCCTATCTCTCTCTCCCCCCCTTTTTCCAAGATGAAGCCCTAGGGGTCTTATCAGCCCAGCTGACATTTGAGCTTATTAGAGTAAGATTTCAGAATTGGACATAATTATAGGTTGCTGATTGATATGTGACTGACAACTTGAATTACAATATATTACCTCAAGAACTCAAATTTAGAATTACAGTATCAGTGCTTTCTCCTCGTTGAAAAGGGTTAAAAGTTAAAACTAATACAGATCACATTAAGTAAATCTAAACATCCAGGTCCTAGTTATAGGGTACTTCAAGAGTTCAAGTAAACGCATCATAAAGCTCCTTCCATCTAGCACTATTGCTTAACTTTATGTGCAATGCAAAGCTAATAGGACTTTTTTTAATAAATACATATAACATCTTCTCCGATGTTTTTATTATTCTTTCCACCTTTTTCAACTTGATCATCATGATAACTTAAAGTCATCACAACTCAGTGGTCCCTAATTACCTAGGAGAAAGTTAGATCAATACAAAACACACAACCATGTAAAGCTAGAAAGAATTTACCTGGCATACTAAGGAATTATGTAGTTTAGAATTAGTGAATTACTATTGGTTTAGGTAAAGGAATATTAAAGTTAGGCCACAATTGAGCCAATACTCGAAGGATTGACTTAATTTAGTTTATATGAACCTTAGAAATGCTTTCCTATCATCAGTTGGCTTTCATCATATTCATCATTCTTGGTGTAATTTTTGGATCTGTACAGTGTCTTAACTCTCTAGCAGTATACAGCAAACAAGACTCAAGTTTGGAAAAAATGCCTACTGTAAAAAATTTACTGAGGCTTGAACTACCCCATATTAAAAAAAAATTTGACCCCTGAGTTCACTTTATCATAGGGTCCCAATTAGAACAACTCTTAGAGCCTATTAAAAGGAAAAAAGAGGCAGGCTGCAAAGGGGAGTTAAAAATAAAACTGCACATAATTGCAGATCATTTCATTAGCTTACATCTTGCTGACCTTCCTCTCATCATATCTATTGGCTTTCTGTTTCTTTTCTTTTCTGTTCCATACTATTCTGAAAGTCTTTCAGATATTACAAAATCAAGATTACCCAAGTAAAATCCATTAGATTGATTCAATAAGTACCAAATTATGGTGTATCATGCACCTTTCAGGCAATAAGGTCTACTCAAGATTATGATGTCAAAGCAATCTGAGTGATAGTAACTTAATCATGAAACATGATATGGGTAACAACATTTACACAACCTTTAAAGTAACATTGGCAAGAACTAGAGTGACAATTTAGGGTGTCTTCTATCAAGGTTCGTACCGTACCGTACCGGCGTTTCGACCCGGGTTTGGTATGGTACGGTACCGGTGTACCAAGTGATACATCAGGGCATACCGAGCAGTACACCCTGGTGTACCGAACAATTTTATACTTTTTTCATACTGTAGCAGTGCTACAGTATAGTACTGTAGCACTGTAGTGGTACCGGGGGTCCGCGTACCGGTAATCTGTCGGACCAGTACGTACCGCCCGGTATGGGCGGTACGCTTCGGTATGACAGACCTTGTCTTCTATATATATGTACATGTACATGTATATGTATATGTATACATACATACATACATACATACATACATACATGTATATATATATGTATGTATGCATATGCATATATGTATATATATACATATGTATATATATGGATGTATACATATGTATACATATGTATATATATGGATGTATACATATATATCGGTAAGTTGACCATACCTAGCAATAAGCCTGGCATGGAACCTGACAGAGCAAAAACTAGTGGCTCCTCTACCAATTCACAATCAAACCAATAAATACCAATACATAATTTCTGACATGATTAGTTTTTTTAACCTGGATCTGATGTCTTAAATTAAATTTCTTGAGACTTGCTAACTCAAGAAACATGTGCTTTATACCAGAGGAGAAAATTTTTGGTACCTTTTTCATTTACTAGGAAAGCTGATATTTTAAATTAAATTTCTTTTCTGTTTGTTACTTGTCACCCTGTGGAGATGTTTCAGTAATCCTTGATTCATCAAATCAGTAAGATGCTACTCTTCTCACCCAAAAAAAATAAAGAATACAGATCCACTGTCTTTAATTTTATCAGACACTACAGGACAGAAATCAGGCCAATAATCTGAAAGCAAGCTGGAAGATATCAACTCAGGCTTAAGGTTATTACCAAAAGGTTTATCCAATAAGTTGTTCTATCGTTCTGTTCAATAATGCTATACTGCATAACCCCCTATAGAAACACCCTTAGCAAAATTTGCCTGATATAAAGCTTTTAAATACAACAGTCATATGCAATGAACATTATGATTATAAACAAATATCTAAGATAAGCCTTGAGCTAATATGAAAATTGATCATTCTATCCACCTGATAGTTATACACAAGCAAGTATTTTCAAAAGGAAGCTAATATTTCAAGAGCTATGTCTTTAAAAAAAATTATGCCTCAATACACATTTAGTATGGTAAATCTGAATATGTGATACATAAAATCAGAAATATCAGGTAAAAGATAAACAGATCAACTCTAGGAGGTTGTCAGAAGAATAGTTTTAAGTTTAAACCAGGAACCATCCCCTGGGAGTCAATTTCTTGACAACCTATCACCCATATGTATAGAAGTTCAAGAGCTTGATAACAGTTTCCGCCTTTCAAGTACTTGCAAGTTGCAAAAATAATTTTAAAAAAAGTTAGTTGTTTTCTGATCTTGAAATATCCAGTCCCCCAATCATTTGCATGTCATGAGAATGAAAGCAGCAAACAAACAAAGCCCCTGATAAATTTGATCTGTATAACGAGTTAAACTTTAATTCTTTGGGAGGAAAGTAGTAGTGTTTGGATGTTCAAAAACAAAAGACAGGATCATAATGCAACATCAAGCGCAAATAATAAGTTGATAGGAAAACAAGTGTAGTAACCTTTGCTCGAAGGTGACCTGCGGGACTTGCAAACTCTGGAAAAACATGTTGAACTAACATGAGCTCTATCTCTGACTTATAAGGCTCAGATTGCTTAAGTTTATTACATAATGCTCCTATAGCCAAAAGAGCACCATCTTTCTGACCATATTGTTTATATTCAATAGGTGCCTCATTATATCTGGTACAAGTAATCATATATAACATGTTAAAAGTTATCTTCCTTCAAGAAGGTCCATGGAGAGAACATGTATAACAGAATTTAAAGGGTGAAGTATTGAGATACCTCCTAAATATCTCCGCAATAAAACGAATAAACTTTTGTAGGTTTGTTTTCTCATCCTCGCTCACTAATTCGATCAAAAAATTCACGGCTGCTATTCGAGGACTGTATAGATCTTCAATATAATCTGGAAAGAAAAAATTTCATGATAGTTCATACGAGTCTATATTAAATCCAGAATACTATTCAGAGACTAAATCTCATAGAATGCCGTATTCACTGAAGAACAAGAGAGTCTAAAGCTCACCATAGCCCTTCCTGACAAACTCATGTGGATCTTCAATCCATAACTTTTGATCATTCTCATTGAAACACATTAGAGGAAAGATTAACTCAAAAAGAACAATGTCAAGCTGTCGTTGCAGCAAGTGATAAGTATTGTACTCTGAAATACTGCAGAGCATTAATATAATTTAGCTAGTTTGTATTATTTAAGTAAACCATTTTGAACCACAAAACTAAGATGACAATCACACACTTGAAAAAGCAATAGACAAACAAAAGAAATCAATGTGGATCCAAAATCTGACAGTAAAACCAACTTCAAATGCAGTGCAAAGTATGTACTGTAACTTTGTAAGTGAAATAACTAAAGTTCTGGTATCAAAGGGAAACATGATCCCCCTCACTAACAAAAATACACAACCACGAAGCACAAAAAGAAGGGTTACACAAATAGCAATCTGCAGCAAATGCGGCATATAGGCAACCACAGAGAAACAGCAGCACTGATTTACATGATTTACATAGTTATCTTGAAGACACAGCACTGAAGACAAAAAGATAACACATACAGTTACCGAGTCATTCCATTTATGTAAGTAAAGATAAAAAATGTGCATGTCCCTTTTTCATTGTAATAAAAAATTCTACAAGTCACCTATTTGATAAATCAAGCTATCTTTTCAATGAGCAGTAGGACATTCAAAATGAGCAAGGACAATTCTTGATATCTGAAATTCTAAATACAGTTGTGGACCTAATCACCTAAATATATATAGTTGTGGACCCTAGTTCAAGGGGGCACAAACAGTTTAATCTAGGAATTTCACTCAATAGATGACATGGCATCAAAAAGATTATAATGGAGAATATAAGATAGCCAGTTCAACCAGGTAATCATCTGGAATTAACAAAACAAGCAACCAGGAGATCGAAGCAAGACATACCTGAAGTAAAGAAATTGAAATATAAGGTTTATAACTCTATCAGGCAGATAACTGCCTGTACGAATACCATTAAGCAAATGCAGGTAGCGTCCCAAAATTTTGACAGCATAACTCTTTTGAAACCATTGAGCAGACATTTTTCTCTCTGACTTCTGAAGCTTCAGTTCCCCAAACCTTTTAGCAATTATTCAGAATTCAATAAGAAAATGATACAATATTCATGCTTCAAAATTCAACAATCAAATATCTCACTTAGTAGACAAACGATTTAAGATGTGAATTGTCCACTTCTTGACTTTCCACCAATCCCAAGATTGCCTGAGATGAGGATCAGATGGTTGACCTTCCAAAGGAACAGGTCTTTCCAATAAATTCAAAAATAAGGCCATCCATGGACTAAACAATTTGGGGTTAAGTAGCTGGTGTGGGATGTCTAACTGAAAAGGCATTTCAAGTAAACAATAAAATAAAACACAAATACTAACAGAACTAAGAAAGAAACTAAATTTACTTCATGAACTTACATTTATGGATGACCAGAATATTTTGCATATAAACTTGATAAGAACAGCCACATCAATTGAGGGGTTAACAATCCGAACAAGTTTGTTGAATATGTTCAAAAGAAGAGGAAATGTTTCCTCAACAATGAGATAAAAAGGTGTTTGCTCATTGTTAGACTTGAACCTTGAAACAAAAAAGAAACCAATAAAATCAGTCAATTTATGTGCAATCTAAACAAGTGAAATAACATCTGTGATAAATTAGCATTCTTTGGCAGTAAACCATTCCAATTGAATCATCCACAATAATATAATAATATTTTTTCAGAAACATGATAGAATTTGTCGAAAGCTCCAAAAACATCATGCCCTTAAACTTTCATTTAGGATTCACAAAATTGTACAAACAGCAGCAAGGATCAAGCAAAGCAAAATAGTCCCACAGAATGCAGTCAGGCACAGAGAGTGGAGTTTAATTAATATATATCTTCATGATTTAACATTAGCCAAAATGTGTCACCTTTTGTCATAACAGTGGCATTTTCAATTTCAGCAAAACAAACCATGTTGCTCTTTGAGATATTACTGAAACACCAGATAACAGAACATGATCATAAATTCACATCTGCTGTTGATCTGTTCTAAGTTCTAACTGCAGAAAAAAGGCAACTGGGAAAGCAGATAGAAGACTAAAAGAATAACTAAGAAGGATAGATAAACAACAGGCCAGGTGCCCACCTACACATGAAAGTAGCTTTCTTTCGTTGAGAAATTTTCTTAAATGCTCCAGAACAAAGCAAGCCACAACACCTTCTCTGAAGTGTTACTGACACCTAGTCTGAATAGGCGATTGATCTATATATGTGATCTGTCATAAATATGACATCTCTAGTGAGAATTTACTATTTCTAGTACAATCCACTCATTCATCAATTCTAATCCAGGAAGATGACAAACATCTTTAACCTCTAGGAAATAAACATGCAGTAAATCACTAATTTGTTCTCTATTCAAATCTTGGACTATCTGACATCAGCTATCTACCAGATACTATAGTCCATGGATTAAAATCTTGGTCAGGTACTAATACTGATCGATGATCAGACTGGTACAACACTGATATTGGACAATATACAAGTGTCTATACAAATTAATACCAGTAGGACCAATAAAGGGAGAGAGCGAAGAGGCAAAAGAGGACAAGAGGTACCATCAGATGGAGGGGAGCACAACACGAGCATGCATAGAGGAGGAGCGATGATGGTACAAGAAAGAAGCCAGCAACATGGTAAGGCAGAGAAATTGAGCAGCAAAAGAAGAGGAAAAGGAAGAAGAAGAAGAAGAAGACTGTGTAAAACTAGACTGTGTCGACAGGTGGTACAGATATCAGGCTTAAAGCCCAGTCAATGTTAATGAGCTTATCAGGTGGTAAGCCTGGTTTTGGACTTGAATGAGCAAGCAATATTGTCTAATTCATGTATTGGTCGACAATCAAACCAGTAAAACTAGACTGTGTCGGCAGGCACAGTCAAGTTTTATATTCATTGTTCCATACCATAGTTGATGATATAGCCTCAAATGGTCACTCATATGAGGATTCAGACACCTTTACTTATTTATGCCATTTGGGTGGAACCAATTAGATCAATTGAAAGTGTGAAGATTAAACAACAAATATTGCATATCACTTTACTGCCTCATACATTTATATTCTCATAATATAGGAATTCATTAGGTTCAGCAATAAACATAAGAAACAATATAACATATAACCGGTTGAAGTTAGCTTATCCAGACAGATGAAGGTTGATCAGCAAGATTTTAAGCAGAAAGTAGTACAACTGGGCATGGTTTGCAATAGCTCGGTATGAGCAGTATGAACCAGTCTGATAAAGGATTGATACAGACGGTACATCGGTACATCTTAATACACCATGTGTCAATATGCTCAGTACAGCTCGGTACGGTTTAGCTAATCGGTATACTGGTACGATACGGCATTCAGAACCTCATAACTTATTATTTTCCTTCACCTTTCTCTACTTGGCTCCTAGCCCTTTTTATTTAGAGGTGACATCTGACACTGTGATGGAATGTCAAACTATGCCAACAGCATGTAACATGGAAACTGTCAGCCACATGTGGTGCTTTAATGAAACAGCAATCCTTGAAGTTCAGTACTCAAGACCCTCCCCAAAGTCAGGACTCAATTTGACCAAACATTGACAAATAATAAAATTATAATCCACAAAGTTTGATTTTACATTTTTTACATTGAACTACTAAATGAGAAGTACCATTTGTTGGTCGGCAATTGTACTTACTCATATTTCCCAGACAAAACCTTCAGTACATATAAAGCTGCAAAAACTTGCTGATCTTGCAATTGTAAGTTGCATTTTATCCAGTGGAGAAGACTTGGCCAGTGTTCTGGGTAATCATCTTGGACCATAATTTTTATAGATTCTCCAAGTTGTGCTCTATGAAGCAAACAAAAATGTTAAAACAAACTTCATACATTACTTATAAATTAGAAATGTTTTACATACTAAGATTCAGTGGAAAAAAGTCTTAAGAAATATTATCAACAAAAGGCACAGAAGATGGAGATGAAGATGTTGAAAGCATCAATATGACAATATGCTTGTTTATTCCAAGAATGAATGTATAGCAAAGTGGTCTAGTTGAGACTAATATGGTCCACATTTTTAGATAATTTAGGACTCATAAATTGAAAAATAATACTTGAAAATTAATGATGCAAGCCTGCAAGGCAACCCATGCTTGGGCCTTTTTATAACCTAGTTAATGCAGAGACCTTTTCTTTATTGAGGTACTGTAGATGAATGAAACAAATCTCTGTCGAAGATCTAGAAAGAAGCAAAACAGACCAGAGAGGGAAGTGAAATTTTAAAAATTATTAGAAATAGAATAAAATTACAAGCATTCCTAGAATAGAAATGGAAAGATTCGATGAGAGGATAAAAGGTCAAAAAAATACATATATTAAGAAAAATAAAAGACATGGCAACTAAAACATTGATGATGATGTCAATAAACGCAATGGACTGTCTGGGGGATATAAATTATAAAAACATTTATCCAGAACAGAAACATGAGATGAGTACTACACTTATGCATGAAATATATGAAGAAAGTACATTCGATATAAAAAAAAAGAAAAAACTTGAATGTTTGTAAGATGGAATATTGTATACATACCCCTTTAGTATCATCAAATCATATCCACCCTACCAAGTTGAAATTTTCATATAACCCTTGAACAATTAGAAAATAATGATGTGCTTGCTCAAGGGTGTCAGTAAAATATTTTGGAATATAAAGTTCAACAAATGACCTTAAAAGCTACAATGAAATATTTAACTTTGCAAGAGAATAAGCCCATAATTTATGGAGGGGTAAATACGAAATTGCCCTTTGAAAAAGTTTTAAATTTCCCATAGAAGAAGTTAGCAAGAGTTTCTCAAGCTCCAAAAGCACAAAAGAATCAACAAATGATATACCTCAACAATGAAGGAACTTGAGCAATAAATTCAATGATATTATCACGGACCATTCTCTTATCACTCTCCGGTAATTTCCAGGGCTCCCCTGGAAACATCAACAAAATTGTAATTCAGCACAAAGTCAGTTCTAAAAATTTAAACCTGGAATTCCTCATTCATACCAGGCTCATGAGGTGACCAGTGTTTAGCCACAACGTTTTTGAAATGAATGCTGGCCACTTGTCGCACAGCCATATCACAACTACCATCTATTATGATCTGCAGTACCCTCACCAAATGCTGTGGTGTATATTGTAACTGTTGAAAATAATATTTGCATTTGTTACAGCAAACAAAAAAGATGTACATGCAACAATAAGCAGAATCACTATCTTGTATGGTGCTTCCTCTAGTACTATATCTAAGTCACTACAAGGACTAATGATAAATTGCCAGATAATAAAAGATGCTTGCAATAGAGGAGAAAGCCAAAAGCCTGTAATTAAGTCATTTAATTTATATTTTCCCCTGCTAATTTATGCTTCATTTTGCAACATCAAGGATATTGGTTCACAACTGGATGGATGAGTTAGATGCACAACTATCACAAGTGAACATCAGATTATTGGCGACATGCAAGGAAAATGTAAATTGTAAATTGTTAGGAAAATGTAAATTGGCGACATGCAATAAAAAGTCAAATGATCTCAATAGTCATATCAGATACATTTACATGATTCATCTTTTTGATAACAACAAAAGTAATTATTAGGATTTGCATGCACTAAATATACCAATATCTATATCAAAGAGGTATAAGTGCAAGAAAAAATAATTACTAAGTGCATACGTTGTTGATACAAAGAAACAAACAAATCAAGACCATGGCAAGAGTAAAAATTCATTCATCAGAAAAACAGTTAGCCTAACTTGTGATTTCCACCGTTGAAATTTTTACTTTCGAACCAGCAGGTCAAAAATGCAATTCATTACAAACAGAGGGGAAAAATTATGAATATGAAGAAATCCTGGGATAAGCTAAAATATATTCTATGGCAAAATACAGTCTGACAGGTTAAGATGGAAAACAAAATTTTCAAGTTTTGTGAGATAAACAAAAACTAAGACCAAGTATAAGCCTTTCTTGAACCATTATTTTTATCAAGGAGTAAAAAGAGAAAATCATCTTTTACAAGGCATTAGAAAAATTTACATCTCTGCTACTACAAATTGATGCTTATGGGCATGCAGAAAACTACATGAATGAAAAATTGACCTAAATGATGAATTGGATTCTTGCGAACATAAGTCTAGCCCCATATGATGGTAAAAGCTTCCAATAACTATTCATAAATTTCCAAACATCACATGCATTCATAAACACAAATATTCTATTGATCTTTTCAAATGTTTATACTCCTCAGAGAGGACTGCTTAACCAGGTCAACAGGAATATTTCAAAAGATTTACATCAAACAATTCAAGGAAATGTTACAAAGAAAAAACATTCCACAGGAAATTCAAAGGGCCACATAGGTAAGTGCAAGAACATGGAAAATCTGAATGGGTACATGTATAGAAGTCGACAAAATTATAGTAAAACAAAATTTTGTTATACAAGGATTGATAGCATTTATCAAACAGTTGTAAGGCTATACTGAGAAATTTTATTCGACAGAATAATGGCAATATATTTATAAGGAGATAAGAATCATTAAAAATGTAGAAACTTAACCTGAGAGAAATAATATTTTAGTTAAAAATTTGAATAGAAAATAAAGGAATTTAGGACTTTGGAAAAATAATAAGACACTATTTGGGAAATACTATATGATCATTAATGATCAATTACATTAACAGAGTGCAAAAAAGATATTGCAAAGTCTAAAAGAAATTGTGTATCTTCAAAAGAAAGTTTGTTGTGCCAAGTCCAAATTTCAGTTGCTACAAAAAGGATATTATATGAAACGTGGCAAAATATAAGGAGGATGATACTTTGAATTATACAAATTATCTAGAAAAAGTATGAAAAGCCCTTAAAGAATTTAAGCACTTCAATCCCTCTAACAATCAATCTAAGACTGTTGATCGGCAATATGGTCCCGGTTGATCAGGTTGTGAGTGGACCAGTACCATACGAAGCCAAAGTGGACAGAAATCAATGACATCGAGCAATATAAAGAATCATATAATAACAAAGAATCAATAAAAAAGGGAAGCACACACTCACACAGTACTTCATAATAGCAGTTATTGCTGTCACAAGTTGATGCATTTATACCACAGGTAGGATATGGGTAAAGAAAGATTGGAGAATATAATGAAGAAAGTAGGTTAAGAGTTTTCTCTTTTTTCACTTATAAACTCCAATTGTTTTGATTACAGACATACAACTCAGAAGAAAAAAAAATCATGGTGTTAGAGAAAATTAACAAAGAAAAGATTGTTTTCCTCTCCAGTTTAGCAGACTAAGATTACTAATGACAACAACAAGAAGAAAGGTTTACATCTCAAAGATTTAGAATGACCACATGAGCTTCTTCCACCATTGAGCTATACTGATGGCAATATCAACAGTCAGATTACGATCTACACACTACAGGGGGCATGCAGCCCACAAAGGATATGTTGTGCAGCACACTAGAAAACCTTAACCACAAAAAAAAAGAAGAAGAAGAAGCAAAGCAGAATCTCTCTTATTATCAGTAACCAATTAAGAAGTCTATAGGACTAAGGAATCCATATGTTTCGAGAAACTTTTGGCTCCAAGAACCAAGAAGAAACAAAGCATCGTCTCTCTGATTATCAACAACCAATCAAGAAGTCGATCGAAATCAGGAAACCATATGGTTCGAGAGCATTTTGGATCTAAGAACCGAGAACAGAGGCCAGCAGGTTGATAAGAATCTCAACTTCAGTATGAATCAAACTAAACGATAAGATAACGCTATACTTCTTGGAACGAAGCGTACGCAGAGTAAGCCGATACGAAGCAAATACGAAAGAGTGAAAATGCCTACGATCTCATAGTAATCCAGCCCGCCAAGAACAGTAAAAACCGATGAAAACCCGAATCCCCACAAGATCGATTGATTAAAATGAACAGAAGGGCCCGGAGTTAACCTGGTTGAGGCTCTCCTCGGCGGCCTTGCGCTCCTCGCAAGTGTGGCTAAGCGCGGAACGGAGAACGACGACAAGGCCGGCAAGATCCATGACGACGGGAACTCAGATTGTTTACCGTTCGACGGCGAGAAGGAACCAACCGCCGACCTCGCCAGGGTTCGGGTAGGCACCGTCAGGTTTCAGGTGGGGAGGCGGAGAGAAGACCACGACGATGACGATGACTCTCTTGGCGACCGACGTAGACGGAAGGGAGATCAAAAGCGGTGTGTTTAACCGAGGGTCAAGTCCGCCTTTTAAATCGTTCCCTGTCCGAACTGGGCCGGGCCGTGGCCGTGGGAGGCCTACCAACTGACGGTGCGATTCCTTTAGATGCGAGATCTGACGGCTAAGAAAAGCACTGTGCTTCAGAAATTCAAATCAAAATGGACGGGATCCAAGTTTCCACCCGGCGGAGCGATTGCCGCGCTGAGGAGCCGCCACTTCTGCCTCGATTCCCCGCAGCAACGGATGCCATCATCGGTTGGGGCTTCCGGTTCTTTCGCCGGTGTGGGCCACCGTGAACTCTGGGTGTTGCGAGCAGATGTGATTTGCGGATATTGTGGGTCACACTATCCTTCCTTCTCATGTATTCTGCAGCCTCATGTGCACATGCCTACTTATTGGGGACATTAATTTTACTTATATTCCCGAAACAAAGATAATGTGAGTCACCCAAATGTTTTATTTATTTTTAATATAATATGTATAGGGCGAATTTTTAGAAAAAAAATTCATTTTGAGTTTTCTTTTTTTTGGAGGATGTCCCTTTTTATTTTTCTCCGATAAATATTTTTTTTAATCTCAAATATATCCCTCGTAAAAGAGTTCTCAATTGATCAATCATAATGTAAATCGATCCAGTTATATTGGTTTTATTTAGACTTATACTGCTGCTTGTGTTGATGTGTCAAAAATACTTTATACGATATAAAAATTATTATTATTTATTTCTAGACATAAGAATATCTTTTAGCGATCACAATAAAGTGATAAGTTAGTTTGTATTATATTTTGGGTCATTATTCTTATAGTATTTTTGTATATGTGTGAGAAAAACATCATAAATACTATAACTAGCATAGAATTTTTTACATATTTTTTAATCAAACCAATAATAATATCTATTTTTAAAAAATATTTTATGAAACTTTAATAATATAATAGAGTTAATAATTATGTTAATAAAGTTAATGATTTTTCTAAAAAATGTTCATATTTTTAGTATTTTTCAAATCATAACCTCTATTTTGATTTAAAACTCCTCCATTTTCATTACTCATTGTCGGCCATCGTCCATAGATAACGGGCGACAAGAAAGAAGAGAAAAGGAGAAGAGGACGAACGACATTAAAGAAGAAGGACAAATGGTTTGGATAATTTTAGAATTAGGAGTTATGATTTGAAAAAAATCAAAATGGATAGTATGGTTTGGAAAATATATAAAATATAAATATTTTTTAAAAAATACCCTTAATAATTAATATTGGTGAGAATTTAAATGAATTAAGACTAAATTATAGTATTTTTAATTAGATTATAATGTTTTCAGTAAAAAAAAAAGACAGTAACTAACTGGTTTGGTTTGAATTTAGTATGGTTAGATTTCAACGAGAAATTTAAAAATTAAAAAATAATGACTCTCTTTAGGCATTTTGGAAATGAAGAACGCTATCGAGAATAAATAAATAAAACATGAGACTTTTATAAGAAATCGTCCTTATGATATATAACATACTAACATTCATATTAACATATTAGACTTTTTTAAGAACTTCTAAAATATGTGTTTTTGCAGAGGAATCATAGATAGATGTGATAAAACATATTTTGAATATAAGACACGTCGTAGATGTCACACGCCAGGTCAGAATTCATACCAAGGCACTGCTCGACACATCTCATCGTTGGAATCCAAAGACAATGCTGCCCCCAAGACACGCCTAGTCAGAATTCGTACCAAGACACTGTTTGACACATTCACCATGTCAACCCGCGTACGATCGACCCTCATATAGTAATATAAAGACCTCTGGCTAATATCTAGCCCAGGAAAAATCAATTGAACACTCCACTGACTTACTCGTCGGAGGGGCCAAAGTCGGGAATCACTCGACGAAGATCATTTTTGCAAGAAAGCAGTTGTCTATGACCCGCGAGCGTTTCAACCCGGGAATCGTCATCTAGTGTACAAAGACGAGCTGCCAACCACCCCGGAAGACGAAGAGACGTGGCTCGGCATAAACGGCACTCGGGTCGACACACCGAGGAACGCTGATCAATACCCCATCGTGAGGGCCCAATCAACCTCGGCATCCAGCTCGACCGACAAAAGACTCCCGACATTGACCCGTGGACCAAGCCATACTGACTCATCAGTAATGACACATTTGTTCACGAACAAGATGGTTTATGGAATTGGGTTGACTTAAACCAAATCTTTGACTATAAAATTCTACATCTAGATATTTCTAAACCTTGTTTTGGAATAGTTAGATGAAATTTGCTGAAAGTTTGATTGATACCAATATAGTTTTTTTAAAATACTTGTTTATCTATTGCTAGGTTAAGATATTTGAGTGCCTTTTATATTTCATATAATTTTAAATTCAAACTTGGTAGCCCATCTAAGTGATGTAGATATGATTTGGACACCCAAATCAAAAGAGGTTTGGTATATTAATAATAAAATTGGTTCTAGGTGGTCTTTACACTTATGATTGAGTATTCGATATGGATATAATTAAATATCACTTCAATATGATTTGGGTAAGCTTTTGCCGGCCACTATTAATATTGTATGATTCGATATGGATATCATTAGGTTCTTGGATCACTGAGGGGACTGACTTTGACAACGACTCTACAAGTAGTTTACTTACCCTTATTGCTAATTCTCTATGGATTATTTAGAGACATGGTACACGACTTTGGCTTTAACCTATGACGAGAATCCTGCACTTCTTGGATCTGAGGATTTTATTTCACAAATACACTTGGATGATTTTTATCATACACCTTTTATCTTATCTATTTGTTGATAACTTAAATCGATAAGAGTAGATCGCATTGCATGACTATTGACTATACATGTTATATACTAGATTATCTCGAATTTATAATACTATTTGGGATTCATGACCCTTGCGATAACCATCTTGATGCTATAAGTTTATGGATACAAGTAGTATATGTAGTATATGCTTATTATATTTAATACAAAAAAAATAAATATCTAAATGTGTCTTGTTATGTGATATTTATTTGTAGAACTAATTTTTAGTATCTCTATTATTATATTTTAAAAAGTTATATTTGTATCTCTATAATCATAAAGTAAAATATTTATTTTTATTTATCATAACGTCGTTGATTTTACTAACGAAAATATAAAAATAAATATCAAAAAGATAATTTCAACATTCCTATAATGGATGACATCAGTGGTGATGGATGATAGTGTCACTGAAAGTTATAGGTCATTGTTATGGTTGAGGAGAACAGTGACGAGAGGTGAGAATCACTCAACAACCGTGTTATTATCGACGTAAATATAAAGTGATTGTTATCTCTGGTCACTTTTCATCCACAATAGTCATATCATCATTCATTATCATCCAACGAAAATATTAAAAATATTTTTATCTTTTATTTTTATAATTATAAAATATTAAATATAATATTTTAAATATATAAGAATCAAAATATTAAAAATAACTAAGTAGATGGGTAATATATAATTAGTTCATTTACATCGCCCCCACGCGTTTCCTCGGAGCCATCGGTCAACACGTCGAGTCAAAAACTTTTCGCGGCCTCACGCGTCTGATGTGGACCACGTGCCACATCGTGCCATCCCAATAACGTGCGATGAAACGAGAGCGTGCGATGAACGCACCGTTCACCATATCATCCCAATAACGTCAAGATACGTGGCCAACGAGGCGAATTGGCTCACCACCTCGTCCCGCACAGAGAAAAATAATGCATAGTTTGGTAGATAAAGCCGACTTTAAGCAAAGCCGTGTCAATTGAACTCCGTTGATTGTTTAACGAGACACCCTAACGAGTAACGAGTCGGTTTTAGGGAGGTGATGGGTTGGGAATATCAAATAGAACCGTCAATCTTCTCCGTCCTTTTCACGGTACAGGTTCACCACCGTCTTCGTCTCTCCGCCTCCCCTCTCGCTTTCCCTTTTGCTGACTTCTTACCGGCCTCGCGCTCGTGGGGGGTGGGGGAAGGGGGCGGTCAAAAATTTCCCCCTTCTTCTACTCTTCTTTCTCTTTCCCTTTTCTTCCCAATCTCGCGTAATTTATATATCCACCACACGGGAAAACGATGATGATGCTTTAGGAATAGTGGGCAGAGGAATTCGGGGCCTCTCTGGTGATGATGTCTCCGAGGAGGCCTTCTTCCCGATGCTTGCTTCTTGGATTTATTTTGCTGCTGGTCCTGCTGGCGTTGAGCACATCGGCGCGGGCCACTGGGGTGTTCAAGGTGCGGCGTAAGTTCGTCGGTCGCAGGCCCACCGTCGGCGATCTCCGCGCCCACGATAGCCGCCGGCACAGCCGGATCCTATCCGCCGTCGATCTCCCCCTCGGCGGCCTCGGCCTCCCCACCGATACCGGGTCCGACCGCTGCCCGTTCGTGTTCTGTGTTTGGTAACCGTTCTTGGTTGGATTGCGTTTTGATCACTTGGTCTTATTTTGGGGGGTCGTTGGGTGGGTCTGCAGGCTGTATTTCGCGGAGATTGGGATCGGGATGCCGTCCAAAAAGTACTACGTGCAGGTCGACACGGGGAGCGACATCCTCTGGGTGAATTGCATCTCCTGCAAGCGTTGCCCTCGGAAGAGCGACCTCGGTGTATGATGACTAATTATTTCTTTTCCTTGGATTTTGGACGTGTCTGTTGTTTCTGCTTTTGTTGACCTCTAATTTATAGTGATGGGATTAAGAATTAGGCTACTCGTTGTAGGTTGAGTTGACGTTATATGACCCCAAGGCATCAGGGAGTGGCAGTTTGGTATCATGCCAGGAGAAATTTTGCGTGTCCACGTATGGGGACATTCCTGGCTGCGAGGCTAGTTTGCCGTGCCAGTATAGTGTGATATATGGTGATGGGAGTTCCACTTCTGGTTATTTCGTGACAGACACCATCCAGTATAATCAAGTATCTGGCAATCACCAAACAAAACCGGTCAATGCAAGTG